GGTTCGAACTGGTAGTGACCCCCCCCCCCGGTTTTCCGCCAGCAGCGGTAGAACACGCTCTTTCAGTGATGCGTAGTCGCACCGCTGTGGTCGTTGCCCCCCATGTCTGCGTCGTTCTGACCTGGTGTCGCGGGCGTCGGGTTCCCTCGGGTGGGCGAGGGGGGGTGACCTTAGAGGGTGAAGACAAGGACATGTCAGGGCCCCTTTTGGGCCCCTGCTGGTTCGATCTGGGCCACCCCCCATTACCAACCGCCCGATTCCTACGCTGCGGAGGGTCTGGTCTATCCGTGCTGGGAACGCATTGCTGCCACGCGCGCGCGTGACGCAGTGCCGCCCGCACATCCGCGTGGGAAGGTGCCGCGAGGTGCGCAACTCAAGCGCGCCAAGGAGCATGCAGGGAATCCTCGGCGCCACCAGCTGGCCTGCATTCCACGGAGCAACTGCACCCTGCGCTGGCTGGGCACCGGCATGGCTCCTCCTCCTCCTATCTGCCCTTCCCTCAACTCTCTGATGCTATCTAATCCCCCAGCATCGAGGGGGCAACCTGAAATCTCAGACCTCAAGGGGGACAGGGCTGATGGAACTTACACCCCCCCGTACGTCCCCCACTCACTCCGTGCCGGCAGCGCCTCGGGAGTGCGGGTCCGAGATCAGAAACCCACGCAGGAGATCGAACTGACCAATCTCGGGGTGGGCGGGTGGGAAGCGCATGTCGCCCCCCAGTGCGTCGTCTCAACCTGAACGAGACGCGACGGCAAGCTGAAGCAGCCATGGGCAGCTGAAGACCGAACACATGTACTATGCAAATCAACTGGCAGCGCGGGGGCGTGACTCCCCGACCAACGAACGCACTGAACGCGCCGTTGGTTGCCTGCGCCCGAAAACGGCCACTGAGCGGCCCAAGTTGCCCAGGCCCCAAGCCCCTGAATGGCAAGGCACTCGCACACTGGCAGCGCGGGGGCGTGACACCCCGGCCAGACAGGACGCGCGCGAACGCGCCTGCTGGATGCCTGCGCCAACAACGGCCACTGAACGGCCCAGCAGACTGCCCTGACCCCACGAATGGCCAGGCAGCCTTGCACTGGCAGCGCGGGGACGTGACACCCCGGCCAGCAGGATGCACGCGAACGCGCCTGCTGGATGCCTGCGCCAAGGACGGCCACTGAGCGGCCCTGCACGAGGAAGAAATATGAAGACGTTGGGCAGGTGCAGATATCCGAATATCCGAAAGGCTTCGCCCTCCTCCAATTCGTGCCACCTCCTCCTCCTCCTCCTCCTCCTCCTCCTCCTCCTCCTCCTCCTCCTCCTCCTCCTCCTCCTCCTCCTCCTCCTCCTCCTCCTCCTCGCCGTCCTCCCCCCTCCCCCCTTCCTCTTTCCTCCTGATGCGCGCGCCCGGCAGGACCTCTTCCGCTTCTACAGCACGGCCTTCGGCTAGGAGGGCGAGAACGCGTCGTGCGAGGCTTGGCTGCGTCTGCCGGCGCGCACGCGGGGCGTCTGGCAAGACACGGGCGCACTCGCCAGCCTGGCCCGCTGAACTTCCGAAGCGGCCTCGGGCCCCCGCCAATAGAGCACGGCCTGTGCTGGCGCAGCCTGCCGGGCGCCCGTGGCCCGCGACGCGCCGCCCGGCCGCGCATCCCCCAAAAGCGCGCCCGACGCTGCACGCTTGGGCCAAAGCGGCAACGGATGACGGACGCGGGGGAGGGCTCGTGACTTCAGCGGGTACGCCATTTTGCAGTGGGCTCGAGGCCTCAGGGGGTGAAGTGGTCGGCGCAGTGGAGGCTAAGACGAAGCCAGGACGAAGACAACCTTGGGCGAGGGCGACTTGGAAGTCTCTGAGACCCGGCGTCTCTGGAGGATGCATCGGGCGCCGCGGCCTTCTCAGAGCGACTATCTATCCTCGCCCTAGCCCGTCCGAGACGCCGAGCCCGAACCGGCCCCCGTCGACGGGCCCGACAGCTCGGCACGCGCCGAAGGCGGAGGGCAGCCCTGAGCCCCATGCCGCAGGGGCGCGGGGCGGCGGGGGCGCAGGCTCACTGGCTCGACGAGCGTGCACGAGGAGGGATGGGACGCACAAAGACGTACTAGTACGATGCGTGCCCTCCTGGGAGGCGTGCGTGCGACCCGAGCGTGTAGTAAAAGCATGTTTTGGTACCTCGTTTCCCGAGCGGTATGGCCAGGAAGCGCCCGGCACAGAGCTCGCACCACAAGACTTCTCGGCACGCGCGTCGCCTCGGGGGGGGTGGAGGGGGGCGGCGAGCACACAGCATGAGCAGATCGGGATGGCGCCGAAGGGAGGCGGTGGAGGCCGAGGAGAGGGGGCCCAGGGCGAAAGGGGTCCATCTCGGGGCGCCCACTCGGCGGCGACCACCCGTGCCTCACGGGCACGCGAGCCGTGCCCGCGGCGACGGCAGAGCCGCGCCGGCGGCTCGGGGGGGGCGGGGCACTCTGGCGAGCGGCCGCGGGAGCGAGCGACGGGAGGGGGGAGGGAGGATCGTGCCGTGGAGGCCTCCGAAATGGGGTCCGAGCTGATGCATCAGCGATGCATCGGCGATACTTCAGAGGCGTTCGGGGATCTTCTGACCCGGGTCAATCCAGACCCGGGTCAGCGGAAAACCAAAAACTGCAGTGCAGGAAAAAAAACTGCAACGCAGACCTTCGCAAACCCGGGTCAGCCAATATGCGCGGCCGCCTCGCGGCCACGAGCGGCTCGCTAACCTGGGTCAGCCAGAGGGGGTCTTCGCAGGATCCTGCAGGATCTGGTGCCCTGGCTGACCCCCGTTTGCAATGACCCCCGTCTCAAGGCTCCCGAGACGTCGGTGGTGTATCGGCGCCGTCGGCGTGTAGAGAGTCGGGCTCCGCACCGAGCCGCATCGCCGATGCCTCGGCGATGCGGCGCCATGCTCCGAACCCGTCTGCTCGGACCCCCTCAGGGAGGCCCGGAGTCCAGGGGAGGGCGAGGGAGAGGGGCGAGGGGGGGAGCTCGCCATCGCTCGGACGTCCATTCCCTGTGTTTTTTTCGGTTTCGTGCGTGGTTGTTACACCAAATGATTAAAGGAGGCCTGGAGTCCAGGGGAGAGCGAGGGAGAGGGGCGAGGGAGGAGCCGGGCAGCGGGAGCGGGAGGGGGGGCGGCGGAGAGGCGGCTCGGGAGGCAGGGGAGGGCGAAGAGAGGGCGAGGCGGGAGAGGGGGAGCAGGGGCAGGCGGCGGGGGGGGAGGGCGGCGAGGCAGAGAGGAGGCAGCGGGGCGGCGGAGCGGGGGCGGCGAGCGCAAGACGGGCACGCGCGGCGAAGAGCGACACCAGCCGAGCCTCGACGAGGCTCATGGCCTCGGCAATGGCCAGCGTGCTGCCCACCTGCGCGCGGCTCTCTTTCAAATCATCCGCAAAAATATCATGATCGTCCCCCCGCCCCCTTCAGCCGCCATCTGTATCAAAAGCATCATCACAATCGCCATCGCCATCAGCAACATAAACCTCATCATCATCGTCATCCTCTTATTCATCATGATCATCCACACCACCACAACAACAAATCATCATCACCACCATCATCATCAACATCATCAGCAGCAGCAGCATCATCGTCAGCATCATCATTACCATCATCAGCATCACCAGCATCATCATCAGCATCATCATCACCAGCAGCAGCATCAGCATCAGCATCAGCATCATCAGCATGATCATCATCATCATCAGCAGCATCATCAGCATCATCAGCATCATCATCGTCATCATCATCATCATCAGCATCAGCATCAGCATCAGCATCATGATCAGCAGAATCGCCATTGTCATGCATCAGAAGAAGCAGCATTATCACCACCCCCGTAATCATCCGCAGCAGCAACAGCCGCATCATCATAAGATCAGTATAATCATAAGCTCATTATCAGCCTCAGCATCATCAGCAGCAGCACCACAACCACCATCAGCAGATTATCATCATCGTTAACAGCATCATCATCAACATCATCGTCGTCGCCGCCGCTGTCGTCATCACAATCATCATCACCATCACCATCACAAACACCAGCATCAGCAGCAGCATCATCACCATCATCATCACCATCATCATCATAATCATCAGCAGCAGCAGCATCATCCTCAGCATCATCATCATCATCATCAGCATCATCATCAGCATTATCATGATCATCACCATCTTTTCCATCATCCTCACCATCATCACCATCATCAGCATCATCTGCATCATTGTCATCCACACCAGAACAGACATCACCACAACCAAAATCATCATCTTCCTCCTCCTCCTCCTCCTCATCATCATCATCATCATCATCATCACCACCACCACCACCACCACCACCATCATCATCGTCATCATCATCATCATCATCATCATCATCATCATCATCATCATCATCGACATCATCATTAGCAGCATCGTCATCACAAACATCAGCATCACCATCATCATCATCATCAACAACAACACCATCCTCAGCATCATCATCGTCATCAGTATCCGCATCACCGTCATAATCATCATCATCATCAGCAGCAGCAGCATCATCACCAACATCATCACCATCATCATCAGCATGATCATCCTCAGCATCATCATCATCATCATCATCATCAGCATCATCATCATCATCATTGTCGTCAGCATCAGCATCAGCAGCATCATCCTCATCATCATGAGCATCAGCATCAGCATCAGCATCATCATCATCATCATTGTCATCATCATCACCATCATCACCGTCATCAACATCATCAGCATCATCAGCATCATCGTCCTCCACACCACCACCTCAACCATCATCATCATCATCATCATCATCATCATCAGCATCATCATCATCATCATCATCAGCATCATCCTCAGCAGTTTCATCATCATCATCATCATCACCATCATCATCATCATCATCATCATCATCATCATCGGAATCACAATCAGCAGCATCATCATCATAAACATCAGCATCACTATCATCAGCAACAACACCATCAGCATCATCAGCATCATCAGTATCATCAGCATCCTCATCACTGTCATCATCATCAGTATCCTCATCATCCTCAGTATCATCATCAGCATTCTCAATCTTCGCAAGACCATCCTCATCATCATCAGCATCATCACCACCATCTTCATCATCAGAATCATCAACATCGCCATTGTCATCAGAGACAGGAGCATTCACCACCCACCGTAATCACGTTTCTCCTTTAGCAATCTCGTCGTCGTCCCTCCGCACTACGATTCCAAGTGCTAATACCAGCGGGCGCCTTCCACTCACGCGCGAAATTGGATCTGCCAAAAAACGTGGCACGCACATAGGTATAACCAAAATGCATATGGCCGCACCTTGTGTTGAGTCTAGCTTCATGCGAAAAGAAGAAGAGGCTACGCCAATCGCCCCCCAAGGACTCTTCGAACCAAAATGCCAACGGTGCAACATCGAACGAGCATCGTCGGCGGTGGGACCGGAGGCGGAGCGGAAACATGCAATGTATATCGGTAATTCAAGAAAGCACCGATCCCACCCATCCTGCCAGCCTTCCGAAGCGAATTCCACACGTGGAATATGTACATGTATGGGGGGGTATGAGATATGCTCAGCCATTCAGCTCACTGCCATAAAGCGATCGTTTACCAAACACCAGAAAGCCCAAAAATGCAAAACGGGACGTGCGCAGGCACTAAACGCAAAGAAACACCCCAAAAACACACACACACACAAACACACACAAACACAAAGTACAGACACACGATCAACAATTCGAATGGACGCTCATATGAAGGCAGGAGAACACACAGAAATAATGAGACGACAGAAAAGACGTGCACAAAGACCCACGATCAGGAAGAACACAGATAATCGACAAGTTGCACAGACACGACGAATACCAGACACTGTAAACAGGTATGAAGAGCAAACACTACAAATGTCACTGCTGACCAACAGAACGAACAACTGCAGACAAGATGCACAGAACGGGCAGCTTGGACTTATACAACAGGAACCCACCCACGCATTCTGCACGTAGTGAAGTGCCCCAAGGCCTATACAATTATGATTGGTCGGCGGGCAGGGGCTGGAATGTTGTACTATATGGAAACCTATATATACACACCTACGTACACAGACAGCTTCATATGAACAATGAATGGGGGCCGTTTAGAATAGTCATTTCCAGCGCTGCAGTGCGCATTCATGAAAACAAAAAACTGGGGCAAACCGAACCGCCGTGGGCGTCCCCTCGACCGCCCTGGCGTTCCGCGCGCAGCGGCGGAATCCTGCGCACCCTTTGGCGTCAGGCCACGCTTGCCACGCCCTGCGATCTTAGCACGGATGGAGACTGCGTTCACGGACCACCCCCTGCGCACCCTCCGGGTCGCGAACGTGACATACCTGACACGCCCTGCGACCTGGAGTGGATCGAGGCCGCGCTCAGGGACCGCTCCATGCACACCCCCCCTCACCCGCGCCGAGACAACGCCGCGCCAGCCTTGCCCTGCGACCCTGGCGCGGACAGAAACCGCACTCGGGGACCATCCCTCGCACACCCCTCCTGGTGCCGAGGATGCTGCAGAGGGCGTTCCGAGATGGCCCCAGGTGTTTTACGATGGCCTCCTAAATGGCGCAAGATGGTCCAAGCTGGCTCAAGGTGGCCTCCAAGATGCCTCCACATGGCCCCACGATGGCCCCAAGACGGGTCCAGAGCGCGAGGGGCAAGGCCGCCGCGCGCGCGGCGGCCTTGTTCCATTTTTTTGTGGAGAACACAGACCACGCGCGAGGAGCAAGGCCGGCGGGTGCGCGGCGGCCCTGGCCCAGTCTGCGTGGGACAACGCGCGGTCCGCGAAGGGCAAGGCCGCAACGCTTCGGTCGTGGAGGCGGCCGCGCCCACGACGGCCCCGCAGAATTAGCCGCATCGGACGCGGAGGCCAGACGCGTGATCCAGACTGGAAAACCGCGAGCGCACGCCGCGCGCGAGAGGCGCGCGCGGTGTCGCTGGGCCCGTCATGCACTCAAGACTACCGAGCGCGAGCACTGGACGCCACCGCACGCGCACGCGCGCGCAGTCGCGCACGTACGTACGTATAGTGCCCCAGAAAGACGGAAACCACGTACTCGTCGACCGAAGTAGCCTGGACATCTGCCAGCCTTGTGTATATGTGGATATATATATATATATATACAAACATACAGGTGTGTCCTTATCAAACGCATCTTTCGGTCTCCGTGGAATATTTTCCAGGGGTGCAGTCGGGATCCGAAGGGGGCGACGGGGGAGCCGCCCCCCCCCTTTGGGCCGTGTCAGCTGACGTGAATCGCCGCCCAAGATGGCCCCAAGACGA